TAATGAGAATAATGATGATAAAAAAAGGAAAGCTTGCTGTGTTTCCCCCCCCTTTGGGGTTTGCACTTAAAGCAGGGGAGGAAATCCTGAGTGGATTTGTCTTGAAATAAGCTCCAAACTAGCTCAAATTTCAAATTAGGGGTTTTTAATTCATCCATTTTCCAGCTGACTGCTTGGAAAGCTGACTCCTGAAAAACAACTGGCTAGAACACTGCTTGGTTTGTGGGAACTCCTGGAGTGGAGTGGGCAAATTTGGGAGAAAGGTGATCTAAAACCTGGGCACGGATGGGGCTCCTTTCCCACCTTTGGCAGGGAAAGAACTGAGCCACAAAATTCCAAACCTCTGGTTCCTGACAGCCACCTCTGGAATTCTGAGCACACAGCCAGCCTCTTCCCTGAGCAAACAAAACCATGGCATTCTCCTCCCAAGGGCAGCAATTTCCAGCTTTCCCCCCCCACCCCATTAAAGGATTTCCCCCCCAAAACCCAAAGAAAAGAAGGAAAAAGCCCTGATTTTTTTTTTTCTCCTGGGATCAGGAAGAAAAAGTTCTCTGCTTGCACTTGCAAAACAAAAAGAAAAAAAAAAAACAACAGCTCCAGTGGCATCAATGTTTTGCCTAAAGGATTCCCTGGTTTCCAGGATTCCCTGGTTTCCAGGATTCCCTGGTTTCCAGGATTCCCTGGTTTCCAGCTCAGTGTCAGAAACACAGGAAAATCTTGTTTTAAAGAGATTAAATGAAATTAAATGAGGTCCCCCTTCCCCGCCCCAGTAAAGGCCAAACAAAAACAAACCCCAACCAGGCTTCCAGTGGGATTTGGGGGGTTTTTTGGGATAATTCCATTGGAACCCAATGGCTTCCTCTTGGAGGAGAGGAATATTGTTCAGAGTGGTTTTAATGCTGCTTTGGCAGACACAGAACCTGCACTAATTAAGGGCTGGATTGATTGAGGATCCCTAAAACTGGGTCTGGTCCCCGAGGGGGATTAAACAGAACTGGTTGAATTCATGGAATTGTGGAATTCCCAATGCTTTGTGCTGGAAGGGCCTGAAAGCCCATCCAGTTCCACCACAACAGGTGGATTAAAATTCCATCCCAGTCCCAGTTTTGCTGCATTTGAACCAATCCAGGTTGTGCTCTCCCTTCTCCAGCTCTTCCCTTCCAATCCCAGCTCTGCCTCTTCAGTAATTCCATCTTATCCCAGCCCATATCCCAGGGATTTGGGAGTATTTCCAAGGATTAGAGACTCCACAGGTTCTCTGGGCAAGCCTCAAATTCACATTTCCTGAGGCTCAGATACAGTCTGGGGTTTCCTGCTGTGGTTTGAGACTTGCAGTTGGAATTAATGAAAAGATTCCAAGTGGGAATTTGCAGCTTGGAGCCACCAATTATTTTGGATTTTCAGTCTCTTGTGTTTTGGTCTCTGGTTTCTCCAAAAAGAGCCTCCTGGTTCCTTATCCTTTCTGGATTTATATCCATGGATGAGACCCCCTTTCTGGATTTATATCCATGGATGAGACCCCCTTTCTGGATTTATATCCATGGATGAGACCCCCTTTCTGGATTGATATCCATGGATAAGACCCCCTTTCTGGATTGATATCCATGGATAAGACCCCCTTATCCTTTCTGGATTGATATCCATGGATAAGACCCAGTTTCTGGATTGATCTCCATGGATAAGACCCCCTTATCCTTGCTGGATTGATATCCATTGATAAGACCCAGTTTTGGATTTATATCCATGGATAACACCCCCTTATCCTTTCTGGATTGATCTCCATGGATAACACCCCCTTATCCTTGCTGGATTGATCTCCATGGATAAGACCCCCTTTAGGAATGTGAAGAGCTGGAAGCCTGTCAGGGAGAATCCAGCTCCCATCCAAGCAGGTGCTGCTGGCCGATGTTCCCATGAAATCCCCCCATGAGCAGGAATTTTAGGAGGCCCTGGGATCCTGGAATTTGGAGCTGGAAGCCTGGAGAAGGTGCTGGGCTCCTGATTTAAGAGGAGCTTCTGGCCAGGAGCTGAAAGGAGCCTCCAAAACTCCTCCTGGTCACCATTTCCCCCAGATGGAGCTGGGAGGGGTTGGATCCCAGTTTTTCCCTGGAATTGCTGGGGCTGGGAGCAGAGGGGGTGGATGGGGCAGGGAACACTTACGAGGGAGCTGCTGGGGTCTCTCTGGAGGGAAGAAATCTCCTTTGGGAAAGGCTCGCTCGTCCTAGACACAAACCAGGACATCAAAGTTGGACAGAGGGGCAAGAAATTAATAAATTAAT